TTGGAGCATAGTCTTACCTATTTCTTTTACGTTGGTGATGACAATGAGAAAACTCACGTTTTGTTTTCTTGACTCGGTTGTTTTCTTTGAAATCTTCTATATATACTTTTATATTTTAATGTACTAAATACAATAATGTGTGCAGATTTTATTAAAAAAAGATACTTCAAAAAGGTGATTTTCTGGTTCTTTGTTTATTATATACGCTTATGTCCTCTAGGTGGTGCACCAGGGTCAAGTATGTGAATCTTATTGCCTGGATTTATTAAAAATTAAAAAGAATTTATATTCAAAATAAAATAAAAATTGCAAATAATATAGACATGTTTTAAGGAGGTCATGAACTGAGAATTCAACAATGTGAATGTCTCAGCAGTGCATTATTTGTTTGTATTCGGTGCATTTCACTGTGGATTATTTGGTAGTGCAATTTCGATGCAGGCTTTGCAAACAGACTTTTACGATATGGATCTGCCAGCAACCACAAACATGTGAGTAACCATGTTTATTCTAATGCCTGTGATCAATGATTTCTGATGTATAATTATTCAAGTTAAGATAGATTATCTTGCTCTCAAAATCGTTCAAATGCATCAGCAAATCAAGCTTAGCGATCAACTTCACATCGTTTCTCTAAGTAGGATGAAAATAGTCTTATTTAAACTGTTTAAATTATATACAGAAAGCGATCAAAGAACGCTCCTTTTTCTAATTGCCCATGCTGTTAAACATACAGGAGTTTATCTGGACACTTGCCAAAACTCGTTATGAAATCAATGATGCAGTGCACAGCGAATCTCTTACTGTATTTACATCGTGTTTGCATTGTTATTTGGTGAAAGCATTCGTGAGAGTGCAGAAATTCCATTGCAATGATGAGGTCACTTCATTCATGCGATCAACAGACTGGGTTCATCTGCTCAATGCTCCTCACTGCAACCTTTTATGTGTTGGAAATAAATGTAAATATAATGCTATAATCATTTCTTTTCACGATTCGTTAATCTAGATAGTTGTAATTGAAAAAAACGTAGTAAAAGATTTCAAGAGAGTTCCACATGTAATGCTAGCTATTTCATATGCAACATGTTAGCCAATCACAGCAGTGGGCGTTTACACTTAAGTCTCACAGCAGACACGCCCCTTCATATTTGAACCATGCATGTTCAAATCAGAGGCTAAAGTTCATGGCCCCTTTAAATGTAGGGCTTAAACTAAAATGTCAAAGACATAATAATAATAATAAATAAATAAATTATCTCATTTAAAAATTAGGTTGAAAATTTTGTAATTTAAATTAGATTGTCGGACATTTTATTAATATATATTTACTTCAAATATGTTTTTGAAGTACAATCTTTGAAGTAGTTTTGTTTGTATATATATATATATATATATATATATATATATATACACTCACCGGCCACTTTATTAGGTACCCCATGCTAGTAACGGGTTGGACCCCCTTTTGCCTTCAGAACTGCCTCAATTCTTCGTGGCATAGATTCAACAAGGTGCTGGAAGCATTCCTCAGGGAGTTTGGTCCATATTGACATGATGGCATCACACAGTTGCCGCAGATTTGTCGGCTGCACATCCATGATGCGAATCTCCCGTTCCACCACATCCCAAAGATGCTCTATTGGGTTGAGATCTGGTGACTGTGGAGGCCATTTTAGTACAGTGAACTCATTGTCATGTTCAAGAAACCAATTTGAAATGATTAGAGCTTTGTGACATGGTGGAAGTAGCCATCAGAGGATGAGTACATGGTGGCCATAAAGGGATGGACATGGTCAGAAACAATGCTCAGGTAGGCCGTGGCATTTAAACGATGCCCAATTGGCACTAAGGGGCCTAAAGTGTGCCAGGAAAACATCCCCCACACCATTACACCACCACCACCAGCCTGCACAGTGGTAACAAGGCATGATGGTTCCATGTTCTCATTCTGTTTACGCCAAATTCTGACTCTAACATCTGAATGTCTCAACAGAAATCGAGACTCATCAGACCAGGCAACATTTTTCCAGTCTTCAACTGTTCAATTTTGGTGAGCTCTTGCAAATTGTAGCCTCTTTTTCCTATTTGTAGTGGAGATGAGTGGTACCCGGTGGAGTCTTCTGCTGTTGTAGCCCAACCGCCTCAAGGTTGTGCGTGTTGTGGCTTCACAAATGCTTTGCTGCATACCTCGGTTGTAACGAGTGGTTATTTCAGTCACTGTTGCCCTTCTATCAGCTCGAACCAGTCTGGCCATTCTCCTCTGACCTCTGGCATCAACAAGGCATTTCCGCCCACAGAACTGCCGCTCACTGGATGTTTTTTCTTTTTCGGACCATTCTCTGTAAACCCTAGAGATGGTTGTGCGTGAAAATCCCAGTAGATTAGCAGTTTCTGAAATACTCAGACCAGCCCTTCTGGCACCAACAATCATGCCACGTTCAAAGTCACTCAAATCACCTTTCTTCCCCATACTGATGCTCGGTTTGAACTGCAGGAGATTGTCTTGACCATGTCTACATGCCTAAATGCACGTAGTTGCCGCCATGTGATTGGCTGCTTAGAAATTAAGTGTTAACGAGCAGTTGGACAGGTGTACCTAATAAAGTGGCCGGTGAGTGTATATGTGTGTGTGTGTGTGTGTGTGTGTGTGTGTGTAATATCCATATAATTTTTTACCTTTTTTTTTTTTTTTTTTTTTACTAAAGTTTGTTTTCATCATCTTGGTCATCTTTATTAACCCACCAAAGAATATCATTTGATAGAAAATATAATTACTAGAAAGTTCATTTCCCTTTCCAGAATAAGTCAGAAGCCTCCATCAAACAGCTGATCTGTGATCAGATTTTAAATTCTTGTACATCTTTTTAGATAGGGGTTACTGTTGTGTATCATTTCATGTCAAGGTCATGTATATGTGAGATGTTTTATGAGATGAAGGTCATTTTAAGTTCAACTTCTATAAAGGGTAAGATCACACACATCAAGCGGCTCAGAGACAAACAAACATTCAGTCGGCCCTCAGAAGCGCTCACTGTCTGCAGCTATATGGACCCCTCTCTCAAACACATTTAAGACATTCACTGATATCATTCCATAGGCATCCGCTGCTCTTTATGGTATTTGATCTGGTAATTGAGGATCAAGTCTCCTGGTTGCTGGCCACTGAGGCCTGCAGATAACTGTGTCTCTAAGGACGGTCACATCACTAATGATGCACAAAACCAGGAGATGTGAGCACACCTTAGAAATGTTTTAGAATCCAGTATGTAAATGATGTTGTTTGGGTCAATCATTTGAATATATATATATATATATATATATATATATATATATATATATATATATATATATATATATATATATATATATATATATATATATATATATATATATATATATATATATATATATATATATATATATATATATATATATATATATATATATATATATATATTGCATTATATTTCTTTAACACTTCTAAATTATTTGATAATGCAGATGTATAAAAGATAAAATATCAGTACATTTGCAGGTGGAATAATTAAAAAAAACATGGAGGTTTTATTCATAAACAAAAACATACATCATTCAGAACCCTCTCATCACACCTTTTGTCTAAGAGTAAAGTTTGTATGAATGAGGAACTATACATGTAGTAGTTCGGCATTTCGCCACAACCACCAGTTTTTCCAAGTAGTTTCTGTCAATGACGCCAGTATATTGCTTGACAGCATTTCTGAAGAAACAATCCTGTGTTGTAATTAAAATATATTTTTGTAATTTGTGTGCGTTAAAGGATGTGTTAATCATGTTGAGTATGTCCCTTCATGATATGTGTTGTCTATTTGTCTGTAAACAAATGAAATAAATTATGACTTGTTAAAATTAGAGATATTCTTTAAATGCCATTCTCTTAAAGAATAAGAGACATTTGTATAAATATGTTATTATTATTAGTAGTAGTAGTTATAATAATATAACAATAATCACAATAAAAACAGCAATAATCACAATTATTATTGTTGTTGTTATTTATATTTTCTATTATTTTTTAAACTGAACCGCTCTAGACCCTCATTTGAGTGGCAAGATCAACAAATCACTTAAAAATCTTTTCCATTTACAATTTGACCTAACTTATATATTTAGTGGCAAATTTAGTGGTAAAATGACCCAATTTGTAAAAAAAAAAAATTGACTATAATTAAGTCAAAAATGACTGTAAACTTATGTTTGACTATAATTTGTTCACTCACAGATTATATATATATATATATATATACATATATAGCATATACCATCTATTTCATTTGTTTACGGGTAGACAGTAGGCCTACAATAAAAGGAAGTTACTGGGTTGGAGTTTAGAAAATAAGTTGACAGCAATTCATATGCTGTTCAATAGGTCTATTTAAAAAATTAATTATGATGTTTAAAATAATTAATTTAGGCTACATCAATTAGTACTGCTGTCACCACGGTTATGACGTCACGTTGCCGTTTTGCGCCTAGTGAAGTTTAAAAACGTGTAGGCTATTTGTTTACCAAGAAGGCATTCGTCACTGAAGAGTGAGATAAAATGTGAAATTTGTGACGTGTAAAGAAAACCAAGGTAGGCCTATCATTTGTGAATATTTTACAGAATATTTTCATGGTTTTCATGGTTTAATTACGAAAATATTTCTGTGTTAGGCTATTTACGAGTCATAAAATGCTATAAAACAGCGAAACAAAAGCAGTCGGTCGCTTTATTAGCCTACTAAAATGTGTAAAATGCAATTTCCACACTTCAAACGTGATGGAAATGACAGACTTTCAGAGGAAAAATGACTCTTTTGAATGTACACTGTTAGTGAGCGTGGGGAAAGTTTCAATGAAGCCTTGCAATGTATTGGAATTGTTTACTTCCATTTTCTCAATTCTGAAATGAAATGAAGACAACAGAGAGTAAACCAGTTTGGCGAGCTGGAGCCCTGGGCTATATGGACCTGGTGGCGGCGGTGCTCTGTTTGCCATGCGCGTATCAAGTTTTATATTTAGACATCTGCTCCAGATGATTCAATAGAGACTGTAGCTACATGCAGCAACAACCGCGAGACGTTCCTCGCGCACTAAACTCTTATGAAATGTACTTACGCCTGAACGGAAGGACAGGCGTTTGAGGAAATGATCGGATCAGTGTGCAGAGAGGGCAGGAGAGATGACTTCCTCAAATAGGATGGTAATGCCCGTCTTTGGAGACATTGAATGCGCGGTGCGCGTTAAGTTTGTCTGACTTTCTGCACTTTCCGCGTTAATTCACAAGAGCTGCATTTTGTATAATTGCACAACCGCTGGCGCAAACGAGATAAAACTGGACCGGATTGTAATATGTAGTGATGCGCGCTGCTTTAATGAATCGCAAGACGCTGGACGTCACAGCCACGCGCCTTTCCGTGCCACAGGTGCGCACTAAACTTTGGTTATTCATTATTGATTAACGGCGCAAAGAAAAGGAGGAACGCGCAGAGGGACAAAACAATTACTCGCAGTATGGAGATCATGTCCAATCAACCCACATCAGAGACTGGTGGCGACCACACCGCAGCGGTTTCCATGTCTGCAGGCGTGGAGAGGACTGATGTGACCAGCCCGAGTCCGGTGACCAAACAGAGGTCCCTGCGAGCGGTTTATGTGCTGAATGATGGACTGAAGGCAGTGGCTGCGAACAGCCCGGAATCCGGGGCGCTCCAGTGTCTCCAGCGCGCCTGCGACGCGGAGAGTGCCATATTAACTACAGTGACTTTTGGACGATTAGACTTTGGGGAGACAACAGTGCTTGATACCTTTTATGACGCAGGTGAGGCACTGCAAGGCAGGTTTAAGGCATGGGTGCTCGAGGCTATAGTTCTAGAGCCCCCCAACTCTTTACCCTTTGGGTGTCTCTCTTATCTGGCACACCCAGTTCAGTTCTTGGAGCCTCATACAACTAGCTGATGAGTTGAATAGTGTGTGCTGGATTACGGAAACATCCAAAATGTGTAATTTTGGAGAGCTTCTTGGACCAGGACTTCCATTGATAACATTCAGCTCTGCAGGATGGTGCATCTCTAGAAGAATAGAAACTCATTGGCATTGGTCATGTAAGATTTAGAGCATGGGTGTGCCATTGAATTAAATTACTTTGTAAGAATAGTACTATAGTACTAATGGCACTACTACTATAGTAATATCATGCAAATACAATAATATTATATAAATAATAATAAAATAAAAAATTATAAACAAAACTTCATAAAACATCAATATACATAAATATGTAAAATTATAAATAATAAATAAATAAATAAGTGGTGGTGCTGTACATATGCAAAAACTAGTAGTTGCTCTCTTATAATTATTACATAAATTAATATAAAAAGTGAATATTAGTAATACCATGCAAAAAAGGAAAGAAAATATATTAATTAAATAATCATAAATAAAACAATATAACACAAGAAAAAGCACCCATTATAATTATTATATAAATATTTTTTATACACACACACACACACACACACACACACACACACACACACACACACACATACATATATATATATATATATATATATATATATATATATATATATATATATATATATATATATATATATATATATATATATATATATATTATAAAACGCAGTATATTATACAGATTACAGACAGATACTACAGGAAAAAAAGTTTCTCAAAAAGTAATTATGCTAAATTGTTAACGGTAATGTGATGCTAGGGTTAGGGATCAATGGGCTTTTCTATGGGAAGGCTATTGGGTCATGGCAATCTCTTTCAAGGGATATTAGGTGTGCATTTGGGATCTTCTGCCTCCAGCACATTCCTTTCCTGGAATTTACTCGCCAGGTCTAGTATATGAAGTCTCTCTCTCTCTCTCTCTCTCTCTCTCTCTCTCTCTCTCTCTCTCTCTCTCTCTCTCTCTCTCTCTCTCTCTCTCTCTCTCTCTCTCTCTCTCTCTCTCTCTCTCTCTCTCTCTCTCTCTCTCTCTCTCTCGTGGGCGTGGCTGCACGCATTACTCTGGGTGATCAAAATATGTTTACATATGAGCTTTAGGAGGGTGAGAAAATGGGAATGTTTTTAAGTTTGATGCTGTGCCCTTTTGTGAATGCTGAATTCGCTACAGCATGGGTCATTTGCAGCACTTTTCACTGAAGAAAAGTGCATTTTAAAGCTAGAACTTTAAATTCTAGTTCTGCAAAAAGTGAACAAAACTCTCATACAGTTCTAGTCTTCTTGTTATTGCATTTCCCTCTTCTCTTTACTAAGAATGTGAGTCATGCATCTTACAGTACATCAAGTCTGGTCTTGTATTTTTGAGCGTATACTAGTGCATGGCTTTTAAACATGATTTCAGATGTTTGCATAGTTTCAACAGAGTAAGCACAGACTGTGTTTGACTGGAAACGAACAAATATAACCATATATAGTAGAACAAATATGCCCTTAGGACTAACTTTAAACAGACAAAAGGTTATTTAAAGAGTTTATAGTGTGTGTTGTCATGGATTGTCATAATAAACAAAAGAAGCTCATGAAAATGATTCTTAAATAACAGGCACTGAGACGGATGCTTAAAGTATGCTAAACTAGAGTGTACTATAGTGGGATTCTGCATTATGGTCTCCCTGAGTGCTTACTGTGTCTCTGATTGATTGCAGACATTGCAGTTGTGGATATGAGCGATGTGTTCAGACAGCCATCCCTGTTTTATCACCTCGGTGTGCGTGAGAGCTTTGACATGGCCAACAATGTCATCCTCTACCACGACACGGACCCTGACACGGCACAATCCCTTAAGGTGAGAGTCTTAAACACACTCATTAACCAATTGTTTACCTAGACTTCTGTTGACCTATTATGCTCTTTTACAAAGTTGTGATTTTGTTTTTAGGGTTTACTAGAATAGGTTTTCATGCTTGAATGTTCAAAAAACACCTTATTTTTTTTACATATTTTACATTGTTTTAAAATATAGTCTGTCAGTTATGCTCTGTTTAGTTCTGGTCTTTAGGAAACCCCTCCTTCCAAAAATGCGCAATGTGCTCTGATTGGTCGGCTAAACCAGTGTGTTATTGGTCAACCGCTTCGAGCATGTTTCAGAAATGCCACTCCTCTTATCATTACTGCAAGTTTCAACACAACTCAGCCAGGCTTCAACCCTTTATTTTGCATAGGCCTTGGTGGGAATTATTTAAATGTGGGATATTGTGATGTGTACGTTCCTGGAAGAAAACTCAAGACTATAATCATGGTGTTTCAGGGGGTTCAGAAACAGTATGCACTGATATGGATTAAGTTCATTTGGAGTGGACTTTGTGCTTTATAACTTTGCAGACCTTTTTCACGCTCAAACCGCAACATTACACACTAAAGAAATGTAAAAAAAAAAATCATAATATATCACCTTTAAAGGTGCTGTGTGTCACTTTTTTAATGTGCGATGATTTTAAGGAAGCCATATGTAGTCTGATTTTCCCTAAAAAAGTAAATACTGGTTTAAATAATATTGATTTAATTAATAGTTTGAGTTTGAGTAGGACTAACAATGGAAGATTGGAAACCTGTTTGGTAACAGTAAGTATTTTGCAATTGTGTAGTGCTGTAGATTGCAGAAAAATTAAGTGCTACATCTTTAAATCAAGCTAATTATAATTACTACAGATGTTTTAGACTAAGAATTATCCAAAACCACAATCTTACCCCTAAAGAAAATCCTGTTTATTAATAAAAAAACAAATACATTTACTTTCCCCTTAAGACATCCACAAAAAAGGCTTTGTCTTATTTAGCTCATTTCTTGAAAAAAAAGCACTTACATTCTTTTGCCCTTTAAAGATGTCCATAAAAAAATTATTTTATTAAAAAAAAGTCTTATTTAGCTAATTTCTAGAAATTTTATAAAAAATAAATATTGAATTAACTACGTTTCACCTAAAAAATGTTCACAAAAAGAGACTTTGGGCCAGATTTACTAATAGCTTGCACCATGCAAACTCTCTTTTGGCGTTACAAAACTACTGTAAGGATTTCCTAAAGACACGCAGTGAAAAACAGGGTTATTTTTGTGGCTGACTGTATTGCACATGCATTTAAAGGAGTTTCCCTTTCAGATAAACTCCTTCCTATGCTGAGAATAGCAGGTCAGGCCCTGCCGCCTTGCAGTGGGCGATCTTGTTCAGATGACAAAGATACTAAAAGGGAATGTAATAGCCTGAGGGCTCGAAAGTTTTAACCTCCCATTAATCCTTGCTAGTATTTGTGTGGGGGCAGTTAGAAAAAGTTATGACAGGAATATGTAATTCCTAAGTTGGGGGGTGGTAAAAACAAAATGTCATAATGGCCCAAAAAGCATGTCTTAAACCAGACACTAATTTGCGCTGCTCTTGGTAGATGGTCATTGTGGAAATGATCCGGCTGCGTTACTTTGGAATTACATATTTCCGTCATAACTTTTTCTAAGTGCCACCACACAAATACTAGCAAGGATTGATGGGAGGTTAAACTTTCTAGCCCTCAGACTAGTATCTTTGTCATCTGAACAAAGAGGCCGTCCACTACTAGGCTACAGGGCCTGACCTGCTATTCTCAGCTTAGGAAAGAGTTTATCTTTTCTGGGCACGGACAGTAGAGCTGCCTGAACAACACGGTCTGTATTCGAGCTAAGGAATGCTATCAGCCCAGGACAGCTGCTCATAGCCACATTGCCACAGAGACATCGGAAGGCATGTGTTCTAGCATACCGAAATGATGACAATCACACGTGGGGAGGAGCGTCACACGATCTGTTTGTGTATTTGTTAATGTTCTGTCACGCTGCTGTCCAACTGATTCAGTCCGGTTTCATTCACTGCACCACATGGCCATCAGTCATGGAATAAGTATAATAAATGGCATGACAGCAAAACTTGGGAAGTTTGAGACTTATATAAGATAGTCCTGGACAGTCCTAGTCCTTGATTTTGATTGGTTGAGCGAGCCACATTCAAAGCCGTTGTAAATGACTCTACAAACATACACCTGTGACCACATTACATCAATATTACTGCGCCACTGTGTCTCTGTGTTGCTTGTTGTTAAGAACTATATTGCTTGACGGAAGAGTTGTCTGTGTGGTTATTTATAAAACCTTGCCAGGTATGTAGAATAACCGTTTTATAAAAACAATACGCCCTGTGAAGTTACAGTATGGTTTACAGTGAATTTAGAGCAGCTAAGGGGGTTTTGCTCTGCGTCGTGCCTAACAACGCTGTTCTAAATTCACTGTAAGCCATGGCTTCTTGAGGCTTATTGCTTTAGTATGCATGCATTTTTGGAAATATTCAGTAATTATTTCTTTTCTTTTGTTTCTTGCATAGGACATGGTGGCACAGAAAAACACAGTAAGTATCAAAAGGATGTAATCTGATGAGGTTTGGAGTCAGATTGTTGTTGGTGTGCCAAGAGCTTTGTGTATGAGACTATTTTTGGAGCTCTTATGACATACGTTTACATGCTCTTCTGTGTCAGGGCTTGAAAATATATTTTATTTATATCCACTTCATTTGGTGGGCAGATCATTTCCTGAACTCTACTTTATGCACATACAGTACACTAATCTGTGAGTGGACACAAGGTTCTGGTGGGTCGCTGTGTCCAGTTGTGAAGACTATTGCGAATTCTGATGAAGGGCTCTCAAGGTGTCATGGCTCTCTGAATTAGTGGTTTTGAAAACGGAGATGGTCGTTGAGTGTTAGTCTTTAAATAAACCTCTTCTATTGAATGGATACAGAGAGGAATCTGATCTTTTATAGCAGCATTTTAAAGCTATGTGATTCATTGAAATGATCCAGAAACAAGCAAAAGTGTGTTAACTTCTGAACATCAGTTTTGTGAACACAAATGAAATTCAATGTTTGCTCTTTAATATTCATTAGGAATTATTCAGGCATCTTTCTCAGGAATTGTTAACCCAAGAATTCTGACATTATTTACTCAACCTCATGTTCCAAACTTGTATGACTTTCTTTGTTCTGTTGGACAAGACTGTGCCTCTGTTTTATGGCGAGTGAAGCTTTCAAGCTTCAAAAAACAACAAAAACACTCTAAAAGTGACATAAAAATGGTCCATATGGCTCATGGGCTTCTGGTGTCATGTGATAGCTTTGTGTGAGGAACAGGGTGAAATTTGAACCTTTTCGGATGACATTAACTTCCAGTAACTTGATCACTGTGTGAATAATAATTCATGAGTAAATTATAAAAAGACCAATGAACTGGATCAGCCAATTCATTGAAAAGAGTCATTTCCAAATGGCTACTTCTCTCATCAATTCTCATAAACGTACCAAGGATGAAGCTAGGATTTGCAGTGAATTTGCTTGTGTGTATTTGACAGTTTAAGCGCAATAAGAGAACATAGTTTAATACTCACGGGACGCGGCGTCTGACAGCCAGCCTTCTGTGCGAGTGCTTCGGATGAGTGCGCTCAGAAAACCATATATCAGAAGTTTATGGCTTTCAAAATAATGCAGATAATAAACTTTCATGATGATGAAGAACTGCAATGTCACGTGACCGCGATGGAGATGATAAATAAAACTGGTAGAGTATCCGAGGCATAGATATCCATAATAAAGTCTAAATGTCTTACGGCGGAGTATCTATCGTCATCACCGTCGGCCATCTTGTCACAGGCAAGCTTTCTGGCGGGCTCTGTGGTACCTGATGTAAGATGAGTGATCAGCACGAACACAAATACTCTTATCTCGTTGAAATCTTGACGGATTTACAAACGGTTTGGTTTCTTACAAACGTTATTAACGTGGCTATAATTCTGGATGATTATTTATGTATACACTTATTATTCATAAGTATGCAGTGTCATAACTACTTCTCTGACGTTTATAACAAACCAAACCGTTTGAAAATCGGTAGAAAATTGAGCAAGTTATGGTTATTTAAAAAGTACATGCACCATTAAAACACAATGTTACGAGTGAGCGAGCTGCCTGTGACAAGATGGCCGCCAGGTGCGGACGTCGACCTCCATTGGGCAGCAGCGCGGACGAGACATCTAGCCCCTATTATGGATATCTATGATCCGAGGGAAGTGCTGTACAGGCTCTGCCCTCTTCTGGAAAGCGGTGTGCTCATTTGCATTTAAAGATACATGCACATAAAACAGCATGTTTTTCCTTCCACTCAAAAATGGGCAGTTTCAACATGGTATAATAAATTATCTGTAGGGTATTTTGAGCTGAAACTTCACAGACACATTCTGGGGACACCTGAGACTTACATTACATCTTGTAAAAAGGGGCATAATAGGTAGCCTGACTACGTCAGACTTCGTACTTCCGCTCAATTTCAGTTCGCTTGAGATAGCGACCTATCTCTCAGTTTTCCTCCGGCCTGAAAACAGCCGGCCAATCAACGAACAGAGGGCGGGCTGAGAGCCGTGACGTAGACGCTAAGCGCAGAGTTTAAGATTGTATTTTAGGTTAGGGAAATCGAAAACGACTGCAGATATGGAGATACGGGATGCAATTCGCTCTGTTGTGGAGAATATTCCCGGCATTTGCAAACTGAAGCCCGAACAAGAAGAGCGTTTGTTAAACATTTTGAATGGAGGTGATGTTTAAGTTGGAGAGAGAGGTAATTGTGTTATGTGATTGGCTTACGGGTAACCAATGATTTTATACTTCAGACAAGCGCCCCGCCCGCGAGAAAGAAAACACTTTTCAATTATGCCATTCCAGACTCTGTCTACGAAGCAAAGTGAAGTAGCAGAGTTTGGTATTACCAGGCTACATAATAGGCCCTTTTTAATGTAATGTTTAAAGTTTCGATTCACAAAACATTTTTAGTAGTTATAGTTTTTATTAACAATAATCCCACTGGCTCAAACAAAGGTGTTGTGCGGTTTCTGAAGGCTTCTCATACAGAGCATGAGTTGTACGAACTACATCTTAAGTTTTTACATTTCTTTGAAGCTTAAAAAGTCAACTCCCTATTCATTGTAAATGCATGGAGAAGAGTGACTAGTGTTGGAACAACATGAGGGTGAGTAAATGACAATTTTTGGGGATGAACTTTGCTTTTGTCTTACTCCTTCGACTTTATTTTCCTGTCTTCATTGAATAAGATGCAGTGTAGTGTATATTCTTTATCTGTCACTCTTTTTTTCTCTTTTCCTTTCAGTTCCCTTCACTGTTTGCTCTCCTTTTCTTTCTTTCTCTCTATCTCGTGTGTTACCTGGAGTAGGCTGCAAGGCCAGTTAAAATAGGCTTCCCATGGGTCCAGTTGCCTCCTGAGTACAGGGGCTCCAACCTAAGAAACAAAGTAGGTACTGCAAGTGTGCTAGTGCATGCTGGGAAAATTCCATATATACACCACTGATGTCTGTGAGTTATTTCATGCTGAGAAATAGCTTGGTTAATTTTAATTGATTCCATTAAGTGGATCCAAAGGCTTGGTAGTTTTTCAGACCCCATTTTTGGACCCCATTTTAAAAACCACAATGCCTTAGCTGAAGAGTCTGAGAATTTAAAATGTACTCAGTAGCTATGATTAGAACACAGTCCTAAAAGTTTAAATAGGCTAGAAGTGTATGGTGACCATTTGACTTGAAAGAGGCTTTAGGTGACCTCTTGCATTTGAGGTGTTGATGTGGCAGATTGCTAAGATGTGCTTCGGCCACCTCCATTTCACTCTGGAATTCTGGGACAGTACATGATCACAAATGTGTCAACAAGATTTCCTTTAGCACTTCACATCTCTTGGCTGGCAGTTGCTGAGTACATGATCACTAACACAGAGACAATTCTGACGGATAGTTTGTACTTTTACACAGAGGTGCAGACTTCAAATTCCAGTGATCTCTAAAGTGCTCCTACCAGCAAAGAATAGGTCTATATTGCATTTTTCACAGATTTAGAATTTGTTTCTCTTTCTTAGGCCTCCAGTGGGAACTACTATTTCATCCCTTATTTGATGACGCCCAACAACGAGTACTTATGCTGTGAGAACGTGGCCCAGCGTAGAGCATCGGAGTACATGCAACCCAACTGGGACAACCTTCTTGGACCTCTGTGCGTCCCGTTGGTGGACCGCTTTGTCAACTTACTCAAAGACATTCACGTCACATCTTGGTATGACTGCTCACATTATGATCACTCTTGGCTGGATGCCCACTCTATGGTCTTTCTTTCAGAAGATCCTTTACAGAGTTACGTAATGATGTCATGCCATGTTTTGCTGAACATAAATAAAGCAAACATCTTCTATTTTGTGATTGTTAAACATTTTTTTTGACCACATCGTGTTGTCCCTATATTGAAGAAATGGGACTCAGCCCAAATGGGATGAAGCAGTCAGATTATATCATCTTCTAGACAGACATCCACAAGTGCACGCAAGATTTATTTGGCACTACAGTAGCTTCTCTAACAAGCATTGGGGTGTCCTTTCACCTAGACCTCTGGTATCAAATTTTAGAACTCCAGCAGATTGTAGTGCCATGATTTCAGCATTCTGTTACATACAGTACACTAGTCTAGTGTAGATAGATTTTTAATACTATTGCTAACCCACTTTTTAGCTGGCCAAGAACACGTAAAGTACAAACAAAATTCATTGTTGTTGCATGATATTTAGATGCATCAGATGGTTCCAAAAGGGGGTTTTCTACGGTGGCCAAGAGTGCTCAATGTGCTGCAACTGAAAAAAAGAGCTCTCTCTGCCACCGTAGTTTTCGCAGCGATGCCATAGGATAACCTTTTTTTGGTTCCTCAAACTGTTCACCTTTCAGTGAACAGTTCTTTAAAAAAAAACTTTTCTTAACTTGAAGAACATTTTAATAATCTAATGAACCTTATTCCACTATTAAGAATCTTTTGTGGAATGAAAAGGTTCCATGGATGTTAAAGGTTCTTCTTAGAACCATAGATGCCAATAAAGAACCTTTCATTTTAAAGGGTTGGTTCACTCAAAAGTTTAAATTCTGTAATTAATTTCTCACCCTCATGTCGTTCCAAACCCCTAAGACTTACGTTCATCTTCGGAACACAAATTAAGATCTTTTTAATGAAATCTGAGAGCTTTCTGTCCCTCTATTGAAAGCTATGCAACTACCATTTTGATGCTTGAAAAAGTTCATAAAGAGATCGTAAAACTAATCCATAAGAATTGAGCGGTTTGGTCCAATTTTTCTGAAGAGACTCGATCGCTTTATATGATGAACAGATTTAATTTTGTTTTTTTATTCACATATAAACATTGATCAGCGGACATAAACAGAAGCAACACTGAACCTGCTTGATGCGCGAGAACAAACTTCTTGCGCTCAGATTTCATCGAAATATCTTGATTTGTGTTCCGAAGATGAACGAAAGTCTTACAGGTTTGGAACAGCACAAGGGTGAGTAATTACTGAAAGAATAAAAAAATGTGGGTGACCTATCCCTTTAAGAGTATATCTGAGGCTTATAGTACCTGCAGATTTATCAGTGTATGCTAAATCCTTTTGTAAATTCCTCCCTGACAGTGCTTCTTACAAAGACACGCTACTGAACGACATCCGAAAAGCTCGAGATAAATACCAGGGTGAGGAGCTGGCCAAGGAGCTTACCCGGATCAAACTCCGCATCGACAACACTGAGGTTTTGACTCAGGACATTGTAATGAACCTGCTTTTCTCCTACAGAGATATACAGGTATATACTGTAAACCAAAAACACCTAAGCATTAAAAAACTTTACAGCTTGGTTTTAATGGTGTTTGGTTCATGTTTTCAGGACTATGATGCCATGGTTAAATTGGTACAGACCATTGAGATGTTGCCCACCTGTGACTTGGCCATCCAGCCCATGATTCAGTTCCACTATGCTTTTGCGCTCAATAGGTGACCACAAATCTGCATTGTGTGGTATATTCTCCTATTCATATGCTTGGCAAACAGACATTTCACTTATACAGCGTTTGATCTCAGGAACAAATGCATTTGTATTTGTGTGTGTGTGAACGCAGACGAAACAGCCCTGGAGATCGAGAGCAGGCTTTGCGTGTGATGTTGCAGGTTCTTCAGTCATGTGAGCACCCTGCACCTGATATGTTCTGCTTGTGTGGGCGCATCTATAAGGATATCTTCCTCGACTCTGACTGCAAGGACACCAAGAACAGAGAGAACGCCATCCAGTGGTGAGTGAGTGAAATGAGCTGCTCGAAGCTCACCTTTTAAAGGTCATGTTATTTTTTTTATTTTTCTTAATGAAGGAAATCCTTTAGGTTGGGCTCTGGAACAAATATCTGCATTATTATTTTACACTAAAACACCCGGAACATCCTAGCACCCAATTTAAGTATGCTAAAAAAAACACCCAGAACACCCTGACAACCTCATCAAATGTGCTAAAACGCCTAGAACACCCTAGCAACTGCATTAAAAACTATCAGAATGCACTAGCAGCTGCATTAAATGTGGTAGAACACCCAAGTTGGTGTACTGAATATGCTAATAACACCCAGATTACCCTAGCAGGTGCATGAAATGCACTGAAGCACACAGAACACTCTAACAACCGCATTAAGTGTGCTAAAAGCACCTTAGCTACAACACTGAATGTGCTAAAAATACTGAGGAGAGCAGACACATTACATGCGCTAAAAACACCCAGAAGACTCTAGCATCTGCATAAAATGCACTAAAAATACATAGATCGCCCTAGCAGCCGTATTAAACACCTCGATATACTCAAAGTGAAGTTCTTTTTCGTTCTTCGCTTAGGGGTAAAAAAGTTCAAAATTCGTGACCAGCTGTATACTGTTAGCGAACATCCCAACGTCTCCACCACAGCTGAGAGTGGCATTTAGATGAATATGTAAATATGTGCTGCATGCTTTCACAAAACAAAAATGAGAAAACAGCAAGCATTTTTTAAAGAAATCATAAGAAAAGCATTTCATGTGGATATGTTTGCACGAGCTCTGCAATTCGGCACTCCAGTAAAGTAACGTCGGTAGATTGCTTAAAAACAAACAGCTTTGCTGTATTAAACATGAAAAACAGTGTCAGTGTCTCATTTCATCAGAAGGTCAACTTAATTTCCTACTATAAAGCGACTCTCCAGTGGGTTCATGTTTTTACCCACGGACATCTGACTCCAAACAAACTTCGAAATGACGTCACATCAGTTTTTTCGATTTCGCTTGAAGTATATCGGGGCCTTAAATGTGCTAAAACACCCTGATAATTGCATTAATTGGGTTAAAACACCAAGAACACCCTAGCATCCACATTAAATCTACTAAAAAACCCTAGCAATTACATTACATAGCAAAGCACTGGCATCCACTTATGACACTATTATTGTGGTGGTAACTTTACAACTTTTTAGAAAATGTTAATGTGTAGTGTGTGTGTGTTGTAGGTATAGAAAAGGCTTTGAGCTGCAGCCCACTCTGTATTCAGGCATTAATCTGGCAGTGCTGCTTATAGTGTCCGGACAGCAGTTTGAGACTTCCATAGAGCTCAGGAAGATCGGTGAGGAGGAGCACACTTCCTGTATCCTGTTTCTCCCAGTCCATTCACTTCATTAAGAGCACACCTCCATCCTTATCACCTTCTCTCTCTCTCTCTCTCTCTCTCTCTCTCTCTCTCTCTCTCTCTCTCTCTCTCTCTCTCTCTCTCTCTCTCTCTCTCTCTCTCTCTCTCTCTCAGGTGTGAGATTGAACAGTCTGCTGGGCCGTAAAGGCAGTCTGGAGAAGATGAATAACTACTGGGATGTGGGGCAGTTCTTTACTGTCGGCATGCTTGCCAATGACATCCCCAAAGCTGTCCAGGCCGCAGAGAAACTCTTTAAACTCAAACCACCCATATGGTACATATACAATATACCTGTAGAAAATGTATTCTATATGTTAAGTTTAAGAAATAGAGTTGGAGCTGTGGCCAAACAGTTGTGTCCAGATGCATTTCGCCAAAAAAATGGAAATATGAATTTGAATCTGGCCACATCCTCCTTCTACTCATAATTTCTTTTCACAGCTTAACTTTCTAAAATGGCAAAATTGGGCTTTAATGCACTCGTATTCATTTCATCTTTCAGGTACCTGCGATCAGTCGTCCAAAACCTTCAGTTGATTCAGCATTTTAAGAAGCAGAACACTGAGCATTCTCCTCAAAGAGAGAGACTCAACTTCTGGATGGACATTATCGTGGAGGCCACACAGGGAACCACAAATGGCCTCCGTTTTCCGGTACTAAACCGCCTGACATTAGTGTCTTATCCAGGACCACAACTGAATCGGCCGAACAGCATTTAATAGACTCGTCCCTTTTTCCATTACGCAGGTGTTGATTCTGGAGCCGACTAAAGTGTACCAGCCCTCGTATGTGTCCATTAACAGTGAAGCTGATGAGAAGAATGTTTCAATATGGCACGTGTCCCCTTCTGAGACGGTCAGTGGTTTATGTGACGTCATGTTTGCTGAAAATTTTTATTTTGTGTATCCTTGTTTGATTTTCCGAACTGGTTGCAGAAGGGAATACATGAGTGGAACTTCACAGCGTCCTCCATCAAAGGCATTAGGTGAGATTCTGTCTATCTGTCTCTACTTTTTTATAAGGTTAAATTAACAATAGTATTTTTAAAAACTATACATTTTATTTCTAGTGTTTGTTTTTATAGTTTTAGTATACAATTTTAATATCGTCCAAAACATGAAAATATGTTGTTTCAGCTGCAATTCTTCCATTTAAATGTGATATATTCACGATCTCAGAGATGTGAAACAAATCTTGCATTCTTTCACTCTCTAGCATCTCAAAATTTGATGAGCGCTGCTGCTTTTTGTATGTCCACGATAACTCGGACGACTTCCAGATCTACTTCTCCACAGAGGAACAGTGTGGCAGGTTGGTGTTCAGGTCAAGTTTCTATAAAATATATAAAAATGAAACGCAAATGTGATGTTTATCTAAAGTCATGTTTGCTTATTAGTATGGCTGAATTGGATCATTAAAGGTCAGAAGCAAAGACATTGGTTAATAAATTGAGATTAAATACATAAAGTATATATTATTGCAGGTTTGCCTAATATTCTGAGTTTGCAATTCATTATTTGTATCCATTTTGAGGAATACTGAATGTGTTTTTGTGCAAGTGAGATGAGTAAATGCCTGCTCACATTTAGTCTAGAGCTACAATACCCATCATGTTTACACAGCACACACAACGCCTCTGCACTTACTCCCGATTTCTCTCAACATGGGGATTGGAGATAACCTGGCCCTAGCCAGATGAATTTCGCTCCGCCTAACTTCACTCACATCCATCTGGAACCTCTTCCATTGAGAGTGATTTCTCCAACCAACTTTATGGTTTAGCCAATCAGGACGCAGGGTGGGAGTTTCATAGATGTGACGTAGTGGAGAAGCGACCGTGAGACTGTTTTGATTCAGACAACAATGGCGGCTCGCATCGAGGAAACAAGCGTTAACATTGATGCTGCTATTTCATCCGTGTTGTCCAATCTACCTAATATTGTTTCATTAAAAGAACATCAGAGAACGGCTCTTAAGGCTTTTGTTGGTGGAAACGATGTTATATAGATCAGTGCCTTCTCCCGACCGGATTCTTCAGCGTCACGGGTTGGCTTCGGTGTGAGTGGTTGAAATAGCACGTCGATAAAGATGACAGACAAGTGGCTTATCCAATCATATGCAAGGATTTTTGATAAGGCCCAGCCTTCTGAAACGCCATTTCAATGGATCGGTTCCAAATGGATGAGTGAAGCTAGGCGGAGCGAAATTCATCTGGCTAGGGCCAGGTTAGATTGGAGAGGTGTCAGTCAATAAATGAGAAAACAAAATAACGTGTTATTTGAAAAAGTAACAAACAATATTTAAAAGAAATTAGTTACTTTACTGGTTATTTGAATAAAAAGTAATCTGCTTACTGATGTGGGAATGGTTGTCTCCTGTTTGAAGGTTCTGCTCCATGGTGAAGGAGTTGATCACAGACGGATCAGGAAATGCTGTCGAGCTAGAGGGGGAGGGAGACGGGGACACCCTGGAGGTGAACGCTTCAAAGATTAACTAGTTTTGTTTAACTAGACTAACTAGACTAAAAACTAGTCGATTCTTGTTGGATTTGTGTGGATTGGTGTACTTAACTCCTGAATTGTTCTGTAGTACGAGTACGACTACAATGAAAATGGCGACAGGGTGGTTCTAGGTAGGGGAACGTATGGAGTGGTCTACGCAGGGAGAGACCTCAGTAACCAGGTGCGCATTGCCATCAAAGAGATCCCAGAGAGAGACAGCAGGTGAGATATTTTTATGACAACCCTTTTGAAAAGGCCAGCATGGATGTTCACCAGCATATGTTGTGTTATGGATGCTGGTGTTTCCATCAGGTGTCTTAAAGGCACAAAAATAGTAATTCTGTCATCATTTACCCTCATGTTGTTCCAAACCTGTTTGACTTTCTTCTGTGGAACATTAAACAAGATATTTTGGAAAATGTCTCAGTTTTTTTTTTCTCCATACAATGAGAGTCAATGGGCTACAATGTTGTTTGTTCCCAACCTTAAGAAGAAAGCCATACAGGTTTTTAATGACATAAGAGTGAGTGAGTGAGTGAGTGAGTGAGTGAGTGAGTGAGTGAGTGAGTGAGTGAGTGATTAGAAAAATGATAATGTAATGATTAACAATAACTTTAATTAACGAATAATTATATTTAATGAATTTAAAATGTACAATTAATTCATCTTTTTTAAAATTATTTAAAACACTTTTTTTACAGTATTTTGGATTTTTTTTGGAGCAATATGATGCATTTCCAACTGAAATTATATTTAATCAGACAACATGTTGGCTAGGACTTAATTTTATCAATCTGGAATTGATTTGATTGTGAAAAGTGGTCCCTGTATGACAGACAGAGAAAGGTCTTAGATGGTCTTTTCAGGAGGGAAGATGAATAGAGAATTTTGTTTTTTTCGATTGTAGTTCTACAATACTAAACCATAAGATACATACAAGTGATACATACATCACCTCTACAGTGTTGTTATTGTTAACTAAAACTATTAGTAATATTTTTTGTCAATTGAAATAAAGATGAAATAAAATAAAAGATGAATTAGAAAAATTAGAAATGTTGCCATAGCAACTAACTGAAATTGAATGAGTTTAAATTAAAGCATTAAACTTACTATAACCGAAAGAAAAAAAGTCTGAAATTAAAGCTTTAAAAATTTAGTAAAAATGACAAAAGAAATGACTAAAACTTAAACTAAAAAGAAAACTGAAAATAAAAAAATAAAATCTAGTTTGAAATATTAATAATAATAATAAATAATAAAAAATAATACTAAAATAACACTGATACATACAGGTATTCCCAACCACTGCATGAGGAAATAGCCCTCCACAAGTACCTGAAACACAGGAACATTGTTCAGTACCTGGGCTCTGTGTCAGAGGATGGCTATATCAAGATCTTCATGGAACAGGTCCCTGGAGGTACATGTGTGGTTTCTGAAAGAAGAATATTAAGTATATCTTTTCTACTTTAAAAATTATGCATCATCTCTCCTCCACAGGAAGTCTGTCAGCGTTGTTACGTTCAAAGTGGGGTCCTCTTAAAGAAGCCACCATAATCTTCTACACTCGGCAGATCTTGGAAGGACTTCGTTATTTGCATGAGAACCAAATCGTTCATCGGGACATCAAGGTAACAACTGTGACAAACCTTTTGGGTCTTTATTTGTGGGCAATTAAAAGCAGAAGTTAAATGTCCATTCATCTGTCCACAGGGAGACAATGTCTTAGTCAACACCTACAGTGGCGTGTTGAAAATCTCAGACTTCGGCACGTCCAAGAGGCTGGCTGGAGTCAATCCCTGCACAGAAACGTTTACTGGTATTTGTTTCACTTTCATCGCCTTTTGTTGGTTACAGAATGTGCTCTCCATGTGACCCTCTCGCCTGTTCCATTTGACCCGTGCTGCATGTCACGCATCATACATCCTGGTGGTCTTGCCAGGTCAGGGTTTTGGGCCTAAAGTTCAGTCCATCATTAGCCCACCAAACAGGATCCGAGGGAGTTTCATTCCTCCCCTTTCAGTGTCAGGGCACCTCCTCCATCCCAACACTGTCAGCATGCATTAATACATTTTAGAATGTGATTTCCAATATCAGTATTAATGCTCTACATTAGGGGTTTTCAAACTGGGGTCGATGGAAAAAAGGTTGAGGGAAAAATAGAGTAAAAATGTAAAACAATAATAGTGGCACGTCTTGTTTTGGCCCATGTTTCATGTCAGTCATGTTTCATGTCTTGTCATGTGATTCCCTTTTCTAGTCTTGTGATCCTCTGTCATCAGAGTCCACTAAATTTCTCCACATATGTTTCCAGGAGACCATTCCCCTGGCAGGATCACATGAGGGCAAGGGAATCACATGACAAGACATGAGACATGACTGACATGAAACATGGACCAAAACAAGACATGACAAATATTTATTTAATAATTATTTATTTAACTATAATAATTTGACACAAAAATTATTTGACATAAAAATTATTTGACAAAGAAGTCTCTTATGCTCACCCGGGTTGCATTTATTTGATCAAAAATAGAATAAAAACTGTGAAATATTATTACAATTTAAAATAACTGTTTTCTATTTGAATTTATTTTAAAATATAATTCATTCCTGTGATGGAAAAGCTTAATTTTCAAGAAACATTGTTGTTATTATCAGTATTGGAAACAGTTGTGCTGCTTAATATTTTTGTTAAAAAAAAACTTCAATACTTTTGTAGCATTATAAAGTTCTCACTGTCACGTTTGATCAATGTAATGCATCCTTGCTGAATAAAATAATAAATTTCTTTTAAAAAATCTTAGTGACCACAAATTTTTGAACAATAGTCTATATAGCTCCCTTTATATTTTAGAAAGGGTCTCCTCCATATTTAAAAAGAAAACTTGACTGTTGGTCGTTTTGCTATCCAAACCACTGGTGTGGACTTGGTCACCTTTCCAGGACTTAGATAACCCTTATTTCCTGACTCAAAATAGACAGCGTTTCTTCTAGGTGTGGTGAGCGATTCTGAGTCCTGGTCACTGGTAACATGAGAATGTCTCCTGTGGGAGAGTAATTAGATTAGCATAGCGTCTGAGACAGGAGTGTGTTTGTGTTTCATTAGTGACTGCTGAAGCATCAGAGCAGGTGCACTCATCCGTCCTCCCTCTCGCCTTCCAGTGTCATCATCATCACTTCTGAACTTCTCTCCTTGATTTATTGTATTTTGTGTAACATCCTGTCGCAGCACATTCATATCTACTGAAGTTCTGCTCTTCCCTGGTAAACCTCTGTCCAGGCACGTTGCAGTACATGGCCCCCGAGATCATCGATAAAGGCCCTAGAGGTTACGGGGCACCTGCTGATATCTGGTCCCTGGGCTGCACCATCATAGAGATGGCGACAGGCAAACCACCTTTCCATGAGCTGGGAGAGCCACAGGCTGCCATGTTCAAGGTATAAATATATTTCCTTAAAAAAAATAGAAATGAAAAAAGGAAATGTGCTGATACTTCTAGTGCATTTGCATACTTCACAGTTGTGTATGTGTATTCCCAATAAATATATCTTTACTAATTTTGCTATCATTAGATAGAAATTATAGCATGTTAATGCCAACTTATATTTTAAAGTTTTTTAATCAATCAATAGTGTAAATTAAACACTTATTATACACTACTGTTCAAAAGTTTGGGGTATGTAAGAATGTTTTGTTTGTTTTTTGATAGAAATGAAAGAATTTAATACTTTTATTTGGAAAAAAATCCCTGAAAATAAATCATCAGATTAGAATAATTTCTGAAAGATCATGTGACACTTAAGACTGGAGTAATGATGCTGAAAATTCAGCTTTACCATATATAACATTGAAATTATATATATATTATATATATATATATAATTCATAATAATTTATTTATGTATATGGGTCTTGAAGGCACTATATAAGGCAATAATGTGTGTGTGCATATGTGTGTAATATAATTTTTTAATGTATTAATTTATTGGATCTTTAGTAATTATATATTACTTTAACAGTATTTTTGGAGATCTTTTTTTTTTTAGAAATCGTTTTGTTTAATAATCTAGTTCTTTACATAAAATTTGGATTTGTTTTCAAAGCAGAAGGTAACTGACCAAGAAAGGATTTATTGGTCCGTGTAACGCTTCACAATTCAATTTTCAGACCATACAATGCAAATGCAAAAATAAAACATTGAAACCAGATGTTCATTTTTCTTGTTTTTCCAGTTACGTTATAAATGGATAGTTGCCTTTTTCTCCCTTTTTTCAATTTTACTTGTGCTAAATTGTGACTTCAGAAACAAACATTTGAATAAATGAAATCGAACTGATTTTCTGTTTTTCTAATTTTCGTCTTGTAATTTGTGCCGTGGGCGGTACCATTAGCACGGGGGTGTGGCCGTGGACTAACTTTACTATCATTTCATTGATGCAACTGCTTTATTTACACTGCACTGCATGCACATTGAGGAGAAGTTTAAAAGACGGAACACAGGACGACATTTTTCACCCGAGGTGACAGTTTTTATTGATAATAACCGCACTGTTAATCCTTGCTGTAAAAAAGGGCCAAATTCTGACAATATCAAACCATTTTCCATTAAAACAGTGTTGCTTAAATTATTTGCAAATAGTTTAAATAGATTACTTAACTACAATTAGACCTACCTTTTACCATTCTTATTCCTTTAAATCCATTTTAAAAATGTAACTCGATTGTCATTATTTTTTAAATAATAAATCCCCCACCTATATATTAAACAGCGAAAGCAACACCACATATGGTAGCAAAGCTATTAAATCATACAAAAATACTAAGACAGTCTATACAAGAAAAAAAAAATTAGCCACTCAAAGTTAACAAAAAATAATAATTATTATTATTATTAGTGCAGTAAGCCCATTTGCAAATCAGAACTTGTTTATTTTTAATGAATAGAAATACTGAAAACCATAATCAAGTAGCCTATCCGGAAATGACAATGTCAATAAAGTAAAATTAAAGTCATGTGAAATAATACTTCCTACAGTAAACTATGCCCAAAAAAGGTTGAAAGTAAAAGCATTATTTTAAAGTAAAATAGTGTAATAAACAAACTCTTTGTGATGATCACATGTAAGCTAGCCTAGATACAACCCAGCGGGGCAGCGGGCGAAATAAGGAGCCAGGCCACCGTTTCTGCCGCTACTCCCAATGGCCAGACCTGAATTCTACATTTAGCACACACTGTTAGACCTTACCAGATTTTTTTTTACAGTAAAATAATGGCAACACTTTTTAATGGAAAATGGTTTGATATTGTCAGAATTTGGCCCTTTTTTACAGCAAGGGTTAACAGTGCGGTTATTATCAATAAAAACTGTCACCTCGGGTGAAAAATGTCGTCCTGTGTTCCGTCTTTTAAACTTCTCCTCAATGTGCATGCAGTGCAGTGTAAATAAAGCAGTTGCATCAATGAAATGATAGTAGCTAAAGTTAGTCCACGGCCACACCCCCGTGCTAATGGTACCGCCCACGGCGCAAATTACAAGACGAAAAATGGAAAAACAGAAAATCAGTTCGATTTCATTTTTGTTTCTGAAGTCACAATTTAGCACACGGAAAATTAAAAAAAAGGGAGAAAACGGCAACTATCCATTGATAATGTAACTGGAAAAACAAGAAAAATGAACATCTGGTTTCAATTTTTCATTTTTGCATTTGCATTGTATGGTCTGAAAATTGAATTGTGAAGCGTTACACGGACCATTTATTTGTATGTATGTATAATTATAATAATAATATTAAATTATTTATTTATTTTTAAAATGATGAATAAAAATTTCAATAATCCTATCCTCTGAATAAAAAATATGGATCATCGCAGTATGTTTTTCTGATTGTAGAGATGCATTGTTGTTTTGTAAAATGTTGTGTATTGTTCATGCTTTTCAATAGGCTATTAATCAGAGAGCATCTCCTCCATTCATCTCTGTTTTCTTTTCTACCAGGTGGGCATGTTTAAGATCCATCCTGAGATCCCAGAGTCTCTTTCGTCAGAGGCCAAATCCTTCATCCTTTCCTGCTTTGAGCCGGACCCAAATAAACGAGCGACGGCCGGGGACCTGCTCAAGGATCTGTTCCTGCGTCAAAACATCAAAGGCAAAAAGAGCAAGATCGCTTTCAAACCCTCAGGTAACGTCTCTTACCAAGTCTAACATGCTTTCCACAGCTGTGATAATAATGTGACCTGGGTTGACCCTTCTGGTCATATCCATGGTGTGTAAGGCATTTTGGGTCTGTGAGAGAGCCTCATTTCTCGCAGGCAAACACACAGAGCTGCCAAACCCCCCCCATAGCCCGGCATTCCTGCTTCTCTGCGCTGTCTGGGATCCTCGCAACAGGTCCGAACTGCTCTCAGCCGGCCGATTGCGGTCCAGATTGAACTTGCACAAGAGATGGGTTGGAACAACAGGACCTGGAAAAGGGGAGGGGTCAGAGGAAAGCCCACAGTACGGCCTCACGCTACCATCACAAATTATTTCCATCCTGCCGCACATGTCAGCTACCCCGCTGTCCGTGAAAAGCATTCTCAGGGTGTGGTGTTTCACACAAACATGCACACTGCTTTCTTACAAACCACTCTGATTTCTCTTTGACATTGACAGAAGACAACAATGTTAGTGAGAGACAAGCTCTGTTCCAAATACTAGTGAGCTGCCTAGTGCTGTCTGTCGTTTAAGCTCATGAGTGACTTATTTGAAAAACTCTCCATGTAGTGAACAACTTAAATTACCTTTTTGCATAGAAGCCTTGGTTGATTTTAATAGTTTGGTGTTAGCATGTTGCTAAGCTAATGGCTCGATACTCTAATACCGGTAAGCATAAAAATATACAGGCTATAAATATTTGGTGACATTTTTTATTGTTTTTGGTTAAACCTTTTTTTTAACACTATTTTTGTTAATCCTTATAGGTATTAAATTAAACATAATTTTGTATACATTACCGTTCAAAAGTTTTGGGTCTGGAAAAATGTATTTGAAAGTTGTTATTGCAAGTAAGGTTATTGAAATGGTTTCTGGAAAATTTTATTTCTGTGAAGGATACATGCTATGTGTTACCTTAAAATGCTACGTGTTACCTTTAAAATTTGGTCAAAAAAAGTTTCCACTTAGGATGAGGTATATTTTGAACAGGCTTTGCATCTGGAGCATGCAGATGATAACAACTCAATATTTCCTTCTCCCTTCACGCCATCCAATCGGCTGCTTGGATTCTCTGTGTAACAGTGTGGCAAGGTTTGTGTCTTCAATCTATGTGTCCTTATGTGTTCCTGAGGACCATGAAATCATAATTATTTATCTTTTGCTGGTTTCTGGTGATTGTATTGAGTGCATGTTCTTTGTGTGCTCTGGTTCTTTGTGACATATTTTTCCTAATTTTTCTTTTCCTTTCTGTTCTCAGTGATTTAATGTTGATTTGGTAGGGGTTTATCTTACCATTGAAGCCTTTTAGAAATGTTTGTAGGCCTAATTATTGTATTATTGTGGGTAACACTTTACAATAAGGTTCCATTAGTTAATGTTAGTAAATATGCATTAACTAACAATGGGCAATACAAAAGTATTTATTCGTTTTTTATAATGTTAGTTAATAAAAATACAACAGTTCATTTTAGCTCAGGTCCATTTAAAAATATGAACAGATACAACTTTTGATTTTAATAATGTAGCCTATTACTAAATGTTGAAATTAACATTAACTAAGATTAATAAATGCTTTGTAAGTATTTTTTTCATTGTTTATGTTAGATAATGTAGTAGTAAACTAATATTAACAAATCAAACCTTATTGTAAAGTGTTACAATGTTGTGCTTTTATAGTGTAATAGAAACCCAAATGGAAAATTAAATTAAATTAAATTGGGGACTGTCAGTCAATTTTTATTATTATGTCTTACTAAATCTAATTAATTGCAGTCAATCTCACATATTTGCTGATTTAAAAACCCTAATGTAAATATAGTTAATCATTGAACAGGCATTATAAAACGTGTCTTTAGACTTAAATATTTTTTTTGTTTATTATGTAGGCTAGTATTTGTAAATACAGTAGGAATTTATATTGTATATGTATATGTCTATAGTCTATTAATGGCCTTTAGGAGGCATGATTAATTGTTAATTTTAAAATTAATAACAATGTAAAAGACATGTTGAATTGACACCCCCAATAAAATGTTTCGTTTTTAAAATTAATGAAAAAATATAACACTTGACTTTTTTATTTAGGCTATTATAAATATTTATTGAAAGATTTGAACTTGAGTAGGAAAAAGCTAAAAATGGTGATAAACTCTGGTCTGACTGAATGAGTAGGCCTACATGTGTGGTTGTGTATACGTGTAACCGTGTGTGTGTTTTACTCCATTTAGACTACATCCGCAGCGTTTCGTTACCAGTACAGCTACAGACGGAGGCCACGGGGAGCAGCAGCAGTGAACCGGGCTCCGTGTCTCCAGACTGCGACTCCAAGCAAGACGTGTTTTTCGAGAAGAAAAAACGCTCTAGCTCCGAAAACCTCATCAAACCGCCCAACTCAAACTACCTCAGGTGAGCTCAGAAGATTCCCCACCAGGGGGAATGCAGAAACCGGTCCAGACGAGTTTAGGTCATGCCCTGGTCAGCGATAGCTGTAGATGCTTAAGTGTGTATATGTATGAGATTATGTGAGCGTTGGATTAGCGTCTGGAATGTTAATGACGTGACTGTGTTTACGGAGCTTGAGTACCCGCGTCTGCTTCGGCTCTCAGCCCGACAGTAAATCAACTTCCTGGGCATGAGGTCGCTGAGGCCTGTCCTGACAGCTAGTAGACTCCTTGGAAACGCTGTTTAATTAACACGGAGGAATGAGGAGACAGGTGTGCTAGGCCGCGGTTTCTGGGCAGGTGTATGTATGTGTGTGTAATGAGATAATGCCTTTTACAACAGGCGCTCTCTGGTTGCTCATAAAATAATCCCATGAACACTTTACTGACCACTTCTTCACCTCGGTTTCAACGCACACACCCAATCACAGAGCTGTCACACATTAACCACGTTTCCTCTTTCCTCTAACGAAATCACGTTTTTAATCACCACTCCAGATTTATTTATACTTTGGCTGCCAAAGTTAACATTTACTTTTCAGATAAATTAAATTCACAGTTAATTCATTGATATTTGAAAAGTATGAGATCACCTATGAGCAAAACACTGTTTGTAAATGTAATAAACATTCTGCTTTTTTCTGTCCTAAATTTAATTAATTTTTATTTAATTTTTTATTTAATTCTACCTAATATATTTTTAATTACAAAATGCCATTTTTAATAAAACATTTCAAATTCCATATTTGAGATAATAAAAAAAAACATTAATGGTAAAAATCATGAGATTAAATTGTTTTAATTTATTGATAGCCAAATTAATACAATTAATATTTAAATGCTGACAAAATTTAAGATATGATGAAAATATATAAGATGTCCATGTATGAGTTTTTAATATTTAGGCAATACCACACGAGCAAGAGCTGCTTTTTCCTGAATATCAGCACAATTGCAAATGTGATCTTGTTCACGGTGCAGAGAGGATCGGGCGGCAGTCGAAGGCGGGGGCCTCGACGACCCGATCCCTGGACACGGAAACTAGCCTTAGGGACGTGGAACATCACCTCGCTGGCGGGGAAGGAGCCTGAGATCGTGCGTGAGGTTGAGAGGTTCCGACTAGAGATAGTCGGGATCACCTCTACGCATGGCTTGGGCTCTGGAACCACACTCCTTGAGAGAGGATGGACTCTTCACCACTCTGGAGTTGCCCATGGTGAGAGGCGACGGGCTGGTGTGGGTTTGCTTATAGCCCCCCAGCTCAGCCGCCATGTGCTGGAGTTTACCCCGGTGAACGAGAGGGTCGTTTCCCTGCGCCTACGGGTCGGGGATAGGTCTCTCACTGTCGTGTGTGCCTACGGGCCGAACGGCAGTGCAGAGTACCCGGCCTTCTTGGGGTCTCTGGGAGGAGTGCTGGAAAGTGCTCCGACTGGGGACTCCGTCGTTCTACTGGGGGACTTCAACGCTCACGTGGGCAGGAGGAAGGGAGGAAGCTGGACAGACACGGCAGACCCAAGCGTACTGTAAGGGTTTGCTGGGAATGTTTGGCCGAATCTCCTGTCAGAGAGATCTTCAACTCCCACCTCCGGCAGAGCCACGACCGGATCCCGAGGGAGGCTGGAGATATTGAGTCTGAGTGGACCATGTTCTCCGCCTCCATTGTCGAAGCGGCGGCTCGGAGCTGTGGCCGTAAGGTCTCCGGTGCCTGTCGAGGCGGCAATCCCCGAACCCGGTGGTGGACACCGGAAGTAAAGGATGCCGTCAAGCTGAAGAAGGAGTCCTATCGGGCCTGGTTGGCTTGTGTGACTCCTGAGGCAGCTGACAGGTACCGGCAGGCCAAGCGGACTGCAGCCCGGGTGGTTGTGGAGGCAAAAACTCGGGCCTGGGAGGAGTTCGGTGAGGCCATGGAGAAGGACTATCGGCTGGCCTCGAAGAGATTCTGGCAAACTGTCCGGCGCCTCAGGAGAGGGAAACAGTGCCCTACCAACGCTGTTTACAGTGGAGGTGGGCAGCTGTTGACCTCAACTGGGGATGTCGTCGGACGGTGGAAGGAATACTTCGAGGATCTCCTCAATCCCGCCGTCACGTCTTCTATTGAGGAAGCAGAGGCTGGGGGCTCAGAGGTGGACTCGTCCATCACCCTAGCTGAGGTCACCGAGGTAGTCAAGAAACTCCTCGGTGGCAAGGCACCGGGGGTGGATGAGATCCGCCCTGAGTACCTCAAGTCTCTGGATGTTGTGGGGCTGTCTTGGCTGACACGCCTCTGCAGCATTGCGTGGCGGTCGGGGACAGTGCCTCTGGGATGGCAGACCGGGGTGGTGGTCCCTCTTTTTAAGAAGGGGGACCGGAGGGTGTGTTCCAACTACAGGGGGATCACACTTCTCAGCCTCCCTGGGAAAGTCTATGCCAGGGTACTGGAGAGGAGAATACGGCCGATAGTGGAACCTCGGATTCAGGAGGAACAGTGCGGTTTTCGTCCAGGCCGTGGAACACTGGACCAGCTCTATACCCTCTACAGGGTGCTGGAGGGTTCATGGGAGTTTGCCCAACCAGTCCACATGTGCTTTGTGGATTTGGAGAAGGCATTCGACTGTGTCCCCCGAGGCGGCCTGTGGAGGGTGCTCCGGGAGTATGGGGTCCCGGGTCCTTTGCTAAGGGCTGTCCGGTCCCTGTATGACCGAAGCAGGAGCTTGGTTCGCATTGCCGGTAGTAAGTCAGACTTCTTCCCGGTGCATGTTGGACTCCGGCAGGGCTGCCCTTTGTCGCCGGTTCTGTTCATAATTTTTATGGACAGAATTTCTAGGCGCAGCCAGGGGCCGGAGGGTGTCAGGTTTGGGGACCACGCGATTTCGTCTCTGCTCTTTGCGGATGATGTTGTCGTGTTGGCCCCCTCACACCAGGACCTTCAGCGTGCACTGGGACGGTTTGCAGCCGAGTGTGAAGCGGCTGGGATGAGAATCAGCGCCTCCAAATCCGAGGCCATGGTCCTCAGTCGGAAAAGGGCGGCTTGCTCACTTCAGGTTGGTGGAGAGATCCTTCCTCAAGTGGAGGAGTTTAAGTATCTTGGGGTTTTGTTCACGAGTGAGGGAAGGATGGAACGGGAGATTGACAGACGGATCGGTGCAGCTTCTGCAGTAATGCGGTCGATGTACCGGTCTGTTGTGGTGAAGAAAGAGCTGAGCCGTAAGGCAAAGCTCTCGATTTACCGGTCAATCTACGTTCCTACTCTCACCTATGGTCATGAGCTTTGGGTCATGACCGAAAGGACAAGATCCCGGATACAGGCGGCCGAAATGAGCTTTCTCCGCAGGGTGGCTGGGCGATCCCTTAGAGATAGGGTGAGAAGCTCGGTCACTCGGGAGGAGCTCAGAGTAGAGCCGCTGCTCCTCCACATCGAGAGGGGTCAGCTGAGGTGGCTCGGGCATCTGTTTCGGATGCCTCCTGGACGCCTTCCCGGGGAGGTGTTCCGGGCACGTCCCACTGGGAGGAGACCCCGGGGAAGACCTAGGACACGCTGGAGAGACTATGTCTCCCGGCTGGCCTGGGAACGCCTCGGTGTCCCCCCGGAAGAGCTGGAGGAAGTGTCCGGGGAGAGGGAAGTCTGGCCATCTCTGCTTAGACTGCTGCCCCCGCGACCCGGCCCCGGATAAGCGGAAGAAGATGGATGGATGGATGGATCTTGTTTATTGAAATGTTGTATAAAATCATTAAGTTAATATAAGGTGACTTACAGTTTAGACTATTTTTGTAAACAGAATATTGTCTGTTTTTGCTCTATTTCGCAAACGAAAATAGTTACAAACAAATCCCCAATAGAGCCATTACGCATCTCAGAGCAACACACTGATGTTTCGTTATTGAACTAATCGGCGTAATGAACGACTCAACAAGGCACGCTGAATTCGGAACTGCATACTAGTATACTACCCGTACTACGTTAATCATATCTATCTATGGCAGAAATAGTAAGAGTAGTATGCAAGTATGTAGTTCCGAATTCAGCAACAGTCATTTGCTTTATCTCTGAATGAATCAGCTGTTTTGAACGAAATATTTGACTGTTTGATTCAATGGCTGCGTCCGAAATCGCATATTCTCTTGAGTAGATACTTGTTTTAAATAATGAATTACTCAACAATCGCTAAAAAAGTATGTTCTATATAGTAATGTGTAGTATGAATATAATCTGGACGTACTACATCTGCCATGTTGCCCTTATCATGTGACATACCAACGTCAGTTGCGTCGCTTCACTGGCATTCACAAATCCTCTCCCGTGGCCTCATGTGATAGTAAAGTGTCCATCGTATGCACACTGCAGAATCTCACCGGAAGTAGCTAGTAGGTCATCCGTGTACTTACTTATTTTATGAGAACTTAAAATTTTTGGACATAGGCCTACTTCTTTTGTCACATACTGTTTTTCGCCTACTATATAGTAGGGAAGTATGCGATTTGGGATGCAGTCAATGACTCGGCTGTTAAAACAATGATTTTCTGCCACCTAATGACAGTTTTAGCTTCGTATTTACAAGTATCATTTCATTTTTTCCCCCCATCTTTTTATTTTTCTATATTTATATCTCGTGCCTGTGGCTGATAAAATCATACCTGCAATAAAATCCACCATGCTGCATTAAAAGACTGTCTGCACTTGCTGTCAATCGAGCACAATGTTATGAGATTGCTGGATAAGGACAAACTTGTCATGGCTTTTGCAACACTCAATCATTGGAAAGCCAACTTCTGTCCGTATTCATATTGTATTACTAATTCCAATTAAACCCTTATCTAATCCCTGTTCTCTCATTTTTATTTCTTTGCTCTAAATGCCTAGTCATTTCGCTCTCCAATAAACTCGCTGAGGGGCTAAGAGAGATATGAAGATTGAATGCTGTTTTTGGTCATGGTTGTGATTTCTGCAGTGATTGGCCGCGATTCTGGTTAAAGAGATAGTGGGACATAAAATGTGTTTATAATTAGACTATCAAGTATAAAATAAGAGGAGATAAAGTAATTACAGTTGCATACGTTGTTTTTTGTCTGTCTTTTTTTCTCATTCTCTTTGAAATGGGCCTTCGAATTGAAAAGGCCGTTTCTGTATATGGTACTAGAAAGTACTTCTGAAAGGACCATTTATATGTCCAAAAACACTGTATTACCATAGTAGAATCAATGGTCAAGAACCATGGCATTTGTAAGTGTATACACAACCATTCAGAAGTTTTTTGTTTTGTTTTTTGCTGTTCTTTTGAACATTTATTTATTCAATCACAGTTTCCTCAAAAATATTAAGCAGCACAACTGTTTTCAACATTGATAATAATAAGAAGTGTTTCTTGAGCAGCAAATCAGCATATTAGAATGAGCCAAAGGATCTTGTGACACTGAAGACTGGAGTAATGATGCTGAAAATTCAGCTGTACTATCATGGGAAAAAATTACATTTTGAAGTAGAAGACTATTTGGATTAATATGTTCTCACTGAATCAGTGTTAAATGTGTGTGATTCAGTGTTCCAGATGAGAGTCCTACAGCAGAAGACCGCAGCTCTCCAGCTTCCTCTGAGAACAGCGACTCCGGCCTCTTCCTGCTGAAGAAAGACAGTGAGAGACGCGCCATACTCTACAAGGTCCTCAATGAGGACCAAGATAAAGTGACCTCCAACCTCATGGAGAACCACATTCAGGTGTGTATCCCTGCGTATTTGTCTGTGTGTGTGTTAGTGTGTGAATTTTCTGAATCATGCACTGATTATTGTGTCCTTGTCTTTTAGGGTCAGGAGGAGCTGAAGTTGTCGGTGGACCACATCAAACAGATCATCTGCATTTTACGGGACTTTATACGTTGCCCCGAGCGACGCGTCATGGCGACCACTATATCAAAACTCAAATTGGACCTGGACTTCGACAGCACGTCAATCAACCAGATCCAGCTTGTTCTGTTTGGTTTCCAGGATTCTGTGAGTGGATTGCAGTATAGATAGTACGGTATCTTTTTCTAATGCTGCTGCAGTATACAATCTCAGTGTCCTTCCCAGACATGATACACAATTTATGAAATCCTATTTATCTCTCAGAAGATATGTTGTTGCTCTTGTTTTTGTTGCAATGTGTCACCAAGAGGTTTTCAGTGTTCCATAATCGCACAGCACATAGCTGTACATCGAACAAATGATGTGTGATTTTTATCTTTGTCTTCTGATAAAGAAGGGGCTTTCGCACCGGGTAGTTCTAGGAACTAGCTGCCCGGGTGGTTCCCCTAGGATCGTTTTCCTGGTTGCAATCATTCGCAACGCCAGTAGCAACTCTAAAATGACGTAAGTCGCGCTTTATTTTGACGGCGCTCTGCGCTGAGAACACCAGTCAGCGAAAGAGCACACAGTGCTCGTATTCTCCATGCTCATTAGTTTACAATGTGTCTAACAGTCCTGTCTAATACGTTATTAGTTAGAACTGTTATACTTGTATATCGAAAGTAGACAGTAATGAAAAGTTATTAGCATATGCCGTGTGGTTGATGTCCAGTGTTGCTAGCTGAGCAGAAATACAAGTTAATCATGTTTGGCTTAGGGTGTACTCACACTAGCCAGTTTGAACCGTGCCCGAGTGCGTTTGACCACCAAAGCGCGGTTCGTTTGACTAGTGTGAGTGCTCCGAACTGTGCCCGGGCGCGGCTCGATTAGCCGGCCCTGGCCCGCTTGGAAGAGGTGGGCCAGAGCACGGTTCAGTTGGACTCGGGCGCGGTTCGCATGCAGTGTGAGCGCTAACCGTGCTGGAGCACGGAACAGGACGCGTGGCGTCATGGTTTTGCGACGCTCCAAAACCAACACAGTCCGTAATCAAAGCTGCAAAGTCCTTGCTGCACTTCAGCTGGTACCTTGCAAACCTCCTCATACGAGCAGCACGATTACGTGAAAATTTTCGCGCCACTAAGGCGACGCATCTGTTTAACAACAGGCTGTGGACCACCGTGGACCAAACGACACAAAATTATCCACAAAGAAAACAGAGCGATGGACTTCATTGTGTTCAGAGAGCGCCGCTCTTCTTGTTTATCCCGAAACCGTCGCACGCACCATAATGACGTAAGCGTGCTCCGGCACGAATGCTGAAACCCTATGTGAGTGCAGGCCAGAGGGGGAGTGGGGAGGGGGGACAATCGTACTCGGGCCCGGTTCATGGCAACCGTGCCTAGTGTGAGTACACCCTAGTCCCCTTCAAAGTTGCGTTGTATTTTCTCCTCAGCGTAAAGGTTCAGAGGTCCATCTATCACTGTTTTGCATGTTCTTAGAGTTAGTTTCTGGAGTAAATATATAGGCTATAATCTGTGTTTACAGAGCTTTTTTTTTTAAATGGCGGGTGCTGGTGTTTCACGTGCTTTCAGCCAATCAGCCTACACTCACGTCACTGGTAGCTCCTATAGCGCTGGCTTAGACCCTACTCTGAAGTAGGAGCTAAATTAGTCCCTCCAAAAGGCGTTCCAAGAACTAAAATCGTTCCTAGTTCCTGCGGTGCAAACACTGCAAAATCCGGGAACTTCTAGGATCTATGAAAAAAGGTTAGAATCTTGTTAGTGCCTCATTTTTGTGTTGCCTCAGTGTCTCCCTCCTGTGTTTGGTTTGAGTTTGATGACATTAAAGAGTTAGTTCACCCATAAATGAAAATTCTGTCAGTATTTTCTCACCCTCATGTTGTTCCAACCCCGTAAGTCTTTCGTTCATCTTCGGAACACAAAGTAAGATATTTTTGATGAAATCTGAGAGCTGGCTCACTCCTTCATAGGCTGCTAGGTCATTTAATTCTGCCGGCCCAGACAAGTTAGTAAAGACATCGTTAAAATAGTCCTACAGTGGCTCAACCTTAAGTTTACCAAGCGACGAGAATACTTTTTGTGCGCCCAAAAACTAAAATAATGACTTTATTCAACTATTCATTTTCTTCCGTGTAGGCCTCAGATGTGAGTTCACGAGACCACCACGACGCTTGTGCAAGACCCTTAGAAGATGATGCAGATATTTGACACAGATATATCTGTGTATTCTAAGGTTGGTTAAACAAGTCAAGTCTTCATCTACGTCGAAATCTGCAGACATATTTACGAAGACAGCTTTATGTACAGCGTGTGCCTTCCTCTGCTTGTAAACAGACAATGTAGCGCTTCCGGCTATGTCAGGACGTCATCTTCTAAATTTTTTTTTTTTTGCGCACAAAAAGTATTCTCGTCGCTTGATAAACTTAAGGTTGAGCCACTGTAGTCACTTGGACTATTTTAACGATGGGTGAGTCATTTTTGGGTGAACTAACCCTTTAATATCCATCTTTCCTCACTGTTTGTGTCTCAGGTGAATAAAGTGTTAAGGAACCACCACATTAAACCACACTGGATGTTTGCCATGGACAACATCATCAGACGGGCTGTGCAGGCAGCTGTTACGATTTTAATTCCAGGTGTGTGAGTGGTTTCTGGTTTTCCTTGTTTTTCCTTGTCTCTCAGAGGACTGAGACCTTTTTCAACAGTCTCTCTCTCTCTTTTAGAGCTGCAGACACATTTCGGGCCTGCATCGGAAAGTGAGGGCGCAGATAAGGACGCAGATGAAGTAGATGAAGAGGATGATGGGGATTTTGGATCAGTGGCACGTACGACGCAGGAAGATCAGGCCCTCACATCTGGAGTCAGCACCCTGAGTTCAGTCATATCCCATGAGGCTCAGCGGCCACAGCACCCGCTGGGAGCCCAGCTCGGACGCCTCAAACAGGAGACTAGCAGGTACACACCGCAGTTTCTTCATAAAACACTCAAAATTATTCTGATGATGGGAGTTAAATATAAAAATGCGAGTGGATTGAAAAACAAAACTCAAAATAGAACTAAAATAAAAATACTAATCATGGATCTTTATTTTACTTTAAAAACCCTGCCATTTAAAAGTTTGGGCTCAGTAAGCTTTTTTTCTTCCTTTAAATAAAGGAAATCTCTTTTGCTCACAAATGCTGCATTTATTTGATCAAAAATACAGTAAAAACAGTAATTTTGTGAAATATTATTACAATTTAAATGTTTATGTTTAGATATTATTGTTATGTAATGCCTATGTTTAGAAAAAGCAGTTTAATATTTTTGTGGAACCCTTGATAATTTTTTTCAGGATTCTTTGATGATAAGAAAGTTCAAAAGAACACCATTTATTTGAAATAGATATCTTTCATAAAATCTAAATACATTTACTGCCTTTTATACAAAATAAGACTCTACCGTTTTACTTTTGAGTGTAAATCTTGATGGTTTTATGTTGTTTTTACAGTGTTCTGTGTGCTGACATTTCTTGTTGGATTTAGTTGGTGAAATGTGATCTTTGACGACTACAATTAGTACATAATAAAAACAATAGCTTGAATAGTTTGAGAGACAGTGTTTCAGTGTTATGTCTCTCTCTGCAGGCTGCTTGAAGAACTGGTACAGAAAGAGAGGGAGTATCAGCAGGTACTGAGACAAACTCTCCAACAGCGGGTACACGACATCGAGCTTATCAGGATCAGACAGCAGTCTGCTGCAGGTTAGTTGTGTAACCCAATCAATCACACACACTTATTGATTTACACTCGCTTATTATGCCATTCACTCTGTCTTTATTTACACTGAAATCATACTTTGGCCTGTACGCTACGATAATAGAGAAAGTGTTCAACTCAACACTATCTGATTTCCTGTGTCCCATTCTGACCTCTGGAGTTGTTTACAACCAGTTCATAGAACAAAGCAAATACAAGTTCTGTTAAAAAAAAACTATCGAGTCGCCATGCTGTCTACTGCCTACATAGGCAACCTCCTAAATATCACAGAACCCAACAGTGTTGTGCAGTGGTTTTCTGAAATGTGGAGGCAAAATCCTTACTCATTTTAAGGTTTTTTATTTTTTTACATTTAGTGTAATTAATGTTCTATTAAAAACAAGTATACATCTTTAAGACATTTTGATTTTTACATTTGTTTTTTTTACAAAAATAATAAAGGCAGTAACAATTTAAACAATATGTTTTACTTGTGAACAGTTGTTTAGTTGTTTTTTTAATGGTCAACTTATTTTCATCGGTCATCAAGCTCTGTAAACACTGATCACAGCCACGAAGATGTACCTTTAATTTCACCAAGCAAAATGCTGTTTCAAGTTTGATTTGGATGTGACATAAAGCGGTTATATCTAAGTGGCTGAGTTTACATACTTTTTAATTATTCTTCCCATTAATACCATTAATTCTGTCAGGACCACTATCGTCAAATACGACTGACAATTAACATACAGTTAGGATTGGAGGTATAGTTCTGTTCTGGGCAAGAGCAGCAATAACCCCAGAACAGAACCAACATGAATGTATTGCAGATATCATCATACCTGTCAAGTTTTGGATTTGAAAATAAGGGAAATTTTCCGGCACCCACCGCGTGCAGTCCCAACACCCCAACCAAGCTCCAGTATCCCTTACATTTTAAGACAGGTGTTATAGCCTTTTTAGATTCAGGATGAATGGCGTGCTCAATTCCTTTTGAGTTTAATTTGGGTGCTCTTCGGTCCAAGGTAGAACATCTTTAGAGACAGTGTAGAGAAAAGAAATCTCTGATGACCGAGGCACTCCTTAGTTAAAATGTCTTTATTGGAAAAATGACATGTCCTAAACGGACAATTTTAAAACACCCACGCGTAGCGGCATAGTGAAGCAGATAGAAAACTGATCTTATAATAACAAAGACACACTAGTAGAAACAAACACAGGTGCAAGTAATCATACAGGTGTTAAAGGTTGAAGGTAGACCTTCAACACCTGAATGATTACTTGCACCTGTGTTTGTTTCTACTAGTGTGTCTTTGTTATTTTAAGAGCAGTTTTCTATCTGCTTCACTATGCCCTGAAGAAGGCTCCATGCCGCTACGCGTGGGTGTTTTAAAATTGTCCGTTTAGGACATGTCATTTTTCCAATAAAGACATTTTAACTAAGGAGTGCCTCGGTCATCAGAGATTTCTTTTCTCTACACTGTCTCTAAAGGTGTTATAGCCTAAATGAAAACACACACACACACACACACACACACAAATATATATATATATATATATGTATGGTATGTATAGGGTATATATTAAGAGCATTATTTAAAGGCTTATTTGCATTTTCTGTTCATTTAACATTGCTTGTCTTTACATTTACATTTTATTTTCATTCCACACATTATTTTCATTTCATATTGCTTTTCTTTTACAGTTTTTCTTTTCATTTGCAGTTTTTCTTTTCATTTCACATAACTTTTCTTTACTCTTTTAGTGAGTTATTGAACAAATTTGTTGCAGACTTTGTATTAACTGTTTTGGAAGGAGTGTATTTGTGGGCTGGGCCAGAGTGGTTAATTTTACATGAGAGTAGAGCAAACAGTTCTGTTGTCTAACGTCATCCTATTCTCTGTAACAATCTTTCGTACCATGCTAAACACCCTTTCTCGTGCTGACATACATCATTCCTTCCCCGTGTGAGATGCTAAAGTCGCAGTTACAAAACTTACAAAACGCGTGACTGTCCCCCACCCTGCTCCTCCTTCAGAAAAGTAAATTCGCTATCCCATTGATCGCGGTATTTAGTACATGAGGGTTTTGGTTTTTTGGCTGGAGTGCCTTGCTCTGTCTTAGTGTAGATCATCAGATTTGTTTGTTTTTTGTTTTCCCCGCGTTGTCACTCATCATCTGACCTCACACACTAACCTCGCGACAACTGCCACCGACAGTACCTGTAGTTATCGCGAGGCTATAGTGACAGAGCTCAGATTGGGAATGTTTTTTTTTTTTTTTACTCCGCCAGGGGTATTATTATTATTCAATAACGCAGGTTAAAATACGGGAGATTTACGGGAAAATCCTAATACGGGAGGACGGCGGGAAAAAAGGGTAAAATACGGGACTTTCCCAGCCAAAACGGGATACTTGACAGGTATGGATATCATTAATTCAAGATTTTAAAGTACAATTTATTCTGATTCAAGGGGAATCAGAATGTCATCCTGACTGACGAGAGGAGGAGCTGGGGATGGAGGAGGGTAATTGGCTCCTGAGAAACGCGATAGCTGCTGAAAATACTGAAGGAGCTTATATATGTATACAGTGATAGGCGTCGTATTCCTATGGGTAGACGTGTATCAGCTGAGAGTCAGCTGATGCGAGCTTGACTAACGTGACCTGGCAGAACTGACGCTAAGCTTAATTTCCGACTGATTAGCACACGAAAACAAAAGGTGGGATTTATCGGACTAACCATTTATAGCCAATCATAGAGAGACGCGTTGTCCCACTGTAACTTTACCTGCTGGTGTCACTGTTGGACAGTGTTACTTTAGAAAAACGAGTGATTTATACACTTTTTAATGTCATATTTGCACAGTTTTATTTTTGTAATACAGATTATTTTCTCATCCAATTTATTTGAGGAGGCAGGCAAAGGAGGCAATGCCTCCTTAAAAATAATGAGGAAATGCCCCTGGCACCAAAGTTAATGATTTTGAATGCTCTGCATACTCTGTGTGCCTTAAAATGCTGTCTAGAAGGATCTTGGCATCTGTGCTTAAATATTCCTTCATCTTTCCTTTGTCCTCACCAGAGATGCCCTCCACCCCCTCTATATTTCACGTTGCTGCACAGCCGGAGCCTGACAAAAACCTCACTGACTGGCTGAAAGAGCAGGGTGCCGACCCCGAGACAATTGATAAGGTGAAAACATACGAAACACTGAATCACGCTGTGTGTATAGTGTCTTTCCCACGATATATAAAAATGATGACTCACTGTTTAAGTTTTCATTGTTAAACGAAACGATGATTCATGGCAAGTGCTTGTGGTTTCTGATAGTTTGTTGTAGAAGATTATACACTCAACGACATTCTCAGCGATGTGACAAAAGAAGACCTTCGCTGCCTCAGGCTTAGGTGAGGGTTTTATTTTTATATGTTGAATTGAGTGATTGATTGTTTATACTGTTCATTTGCATAAAGTAACCTCAATTATTTGATCACGCAAGCCACATTTAAAATGCAATAAATATAATAAGGTTGCACTTTATTTTATAGTATGTGCACTGACTCTTACTTACCTAATGTACTTGCAGTAGATAATTGCATAATTTTTTGTTTGTTTTTGCATACTATAGGGGTGGAGTGCTGTGTCGTGTCTGGAAAGCCATTCAGAGACACCGAAATAAAGGGCTTAGAAAGGTCAATAATGACGAGGGAAATTCAGAAGGATGAAAGCAACAGGAAGTTGCTGATAATGAACACCTGAGCCAGCACAATGCATCCTCACACACATCCCTATAATGAGAGACTTGTAATTATGTCATGCTTTCTCCTGGTTGGACATGTTTACTTCCCCTTCAGCTATGACCTAATGTATTTGTGGTATTTTTATGTTTTAAGCCTCTCCAAGATTTACATCTCATTTCCATTGAATTTCAATAGGAAAACCCATACGGATGAAATCGGCTTAATCTAGGAAAGATCGTACTTTCCGCTTTTTACAGAGAGGTGTTGCCTGTAAAGGAATTTGACTTTGGACTGGGCCTAGAATGGAAGAGGAGAGAGTGATACCTACTTAATGTAGGACTTCAGATCATGCCATTTTAAATGATAGAAAGTCTATATAGGTTACTGTTTGTTTAGCATTACAAGTCTGGAAAATGTGTTGAGTTCATTCTAAAATATTATGTGACATACTTTTTGGAGGGACTGTATGGACAAAATGACCACAGACCTCTCGGACCAGGGCTAAGGAGCCTCTTTTAGATGTGCTAGAATAAGTTTGGATGTAATTACCCCAGTACGTAGATAAATACTTAAATAAACGTAAAATCATCATCATAACATTCAGTTGCAACTTTAAGAACTATGATACATACCTGTACTTTAACCGTCGCACAACTTTCATTTTTTATAAAAATGTGTGCAAGACCAGTCTTGCAGAAAACATAACCTTTGGCTTACTTAAACTGCAATTTACGTTCCACAAACATGTATCCAATTTCTTAAGAATGATGAGACCTGTTATGTCAGTAGTTGCTCTAATTATTGTATTGATACAGAGCTGAACACCATGACCTGAAAATGCAATGACTCAAAGCGCCAGAAGTGTTTGTCTTGGATTCACAGATTATGTTTGATTCGATTGTTCATCTTTTGTTTTATATCTAAGCTGTCGTGTTTCAATGTTAATGCATCGCATATGTTGATCTGTCGTGTGGGAACGGTAGTGCTTGAGCACCAATGTTCCGTCTAAGCTATTTAAGTTCTTTATCTACTGTGTGGGCTGAAAGTGATGTGATGATGGAAGATGCCTTTCTCTTACTTTTAAAAATGATTTGTAAACTGGATATTCAGGCTGTGTCTGAGGTAAAATACCAACTTGCTTCTCTGATTGCCAAACTCTTCAGGTAAATAAAGTTCAGACATGCAACTGGGTTATTACAATCTGAACACCCAAATTGTTTTTCCATTAAATGTAACATGATGGTTATTAGAATAAGCAAGTCATTTGACTGCCTTCAAATATTTGCCATAGTTTGAAAACTAAGCTATGGAAAATGTTGCAATCCCAAAACGCTGGCAACATTCTTAAAATAGAAAGACATGCATTTAAAATCATTAAATCTGAAAGAATCTTTTAAAAGTTAAATGAAAAGTTTGATTTAATAAGGAGCGAACACATTGTTATTGTAAGATTTCCTGTTCTGGATCATGTAAACAGGTATCCCTGTAAAAAAAAAAAAAGTAACAGGTATCCCGGTGGTGTTTGTTTAATATCAGTGACACAAATACGCTTTTTGCATAATTTTGCATATGTTCATCCTCAACTGCTCTCTGGAAACATGTCATGTTTTGGAAAATGAATCAAATTTGAAAATCTTCAGATGATCTGTTTTTCAGTTCTCAATCTAAATGTAGGATGCTAAAGACAAAACTAATCGTTAGCATCACAACCATTCATTGGCATTAGATTAGACAACATAACAAATTAAGTCAAGTTCGACTTAAATTCAGCCCAATCCTGTCATTTACTTGCGTAGTTTTTCTTTTACATTCAACCATAGACTGTTAAAAAAAAACAGTATTATAAAAATAGTCAAAATGATTTGTTCATGGTTTAAACTGATTCGCTGGTTCTCACAGTGGGTCTTAAATTAACAGATCACTAGAAATATTTTCAGTTAGGAAAATAAAAGACTTAAATTTCCGCCTTGGCCTCACACAATGCTGTCATATGACTTGGAAGCCTTCTGACCGTTTTTATGATTGTATGTTGTTTTTGGCTTTCTTTGAGGTTAAGATGGTGCCACTGTATGGAAAATAGGCCTATGTATGTGCAAATTATTGGCATGTAACCTTTCAGAAACATATTTTTTTCCATGGTGGATTAAAAGCCATATGTGTTTGGAATGTGAACATAAAGGTAATTAGATAATGACAGTGTTTTTATTTTCAGGTTAAGTATTCCTTTAAGACCGTAAGGAAATTGACTGATAAAACTTTGACTCTGGGACGTAATTACTGAATGATGATTCACTCTTGTCATTCCAAATCCAATGTAAAATGAGTGAGAAATGCAGAAAGCCTGGTTCTGTTGTGACGTTCTAATTGAAATTGTGCTCACCTTAGAAATTGTGCAACCCTGCAAACTCATGTTCATTGACATAAAACATTGCAATTTGGTGGAATAAAGATTCTGACGTCAGGTGACTGAAATTCAATGTTAGGACAACGCCTATTGTCAACGTCAATTTGATGAAGAATATGATGACAGCTGACGTTGATATTGTTTTGGTTTTAAACGGAAGTAACCAAAATCCAACGTCTGCTACATGTCATGAGATTAGCGTTCACCCAAAATCAAATTATAGCATCATCAGACATTAATATTTTGTTGCTTTGAAGTCATGATATCTAGTAACTAAAAGCCAACGTCTGCTAAACGTCATAAGATTAACGTCCACATCATCAAATTATAGCATCATCAGATGTTAATATTTTGTTGGTTTATTAAGTCATCGTATTAAGTAACCAAAACCCAATGTCTGCTAAATGTTGTAGGATTAATGTCACACAACGTCAAATTATAGCATCATCAGATGTTGATATTTTGTTGGTCTTAAGTCTTGGTAGTAACCAAAATCCAATGTTTGATAAACGTCATATAAGATTAACGTACACACACCATCAAATTATAGCATCATCAGACGTTAATATTTTGTTGGTAAATATGGGAAAGCAGTAGGCCTACAGGAGATGGAAGGAGTGGTTTTAAGTCAGGTTTTTTAGTAACCAAAACCTAACGTCTGCTGAACAACAGAATGTTAATGTCCACACAACAATAAATTATTGTTTAAATCATATTCTGATGATTTGATGTTTTACGGACATTTCTGATTATCAGTAAAATCTCAAACTGATTTTATGTAGGTTTAAATCTAGTGGTGACCATCCTTCCAGTATATCAGCCTATTCAGTGATATTTGGAGTGGCTATAGATGCCCAATGTACAGTGGCGCGTGGCGGTATGTGATTTCGACACTAATCCGCCATTAAACCCAAAGAAGAGGATGTAGAAGAAGAAGATTGTGCATATTGACCATGAGCATAGGTAAAGAAAATATAAATGAATGTTGGTCATGATAACATTTATATATTTGTTTGATTTTTTTGTGGGACATCGCAAGCTAGCATTGTCACAGCAATGGATTGTTCAATTGGCACCATTTTCCACCTAGCTTAAAGTAGCTACCTACTTTAAATTGCACTTAGCTTCTTCGCAAGACTAACATAAGTATGATAGAGTTTTGTCTACAAATAAATATAGCTATAAAATCAGTGATGGAGAAAAAACTTGCTGCAGCGCACCTTGTTTTCCAACTCTTTACTACCCAGAGAAAAAAAAAAAACAATGAAGGATTGTTTACATTTCATTGCCTCATCAGAGAGGCTGCATTTTACCTTACTTTTTAGTTTTGCTTTATGCTAAAAAAAACATTTACTAATTAAATAAGTGATAAATTTCCATATGTGAACATTTTATAAAAAATATTCTAGGTAATCTCTGTTTAGTCAACATTAGGTTTTGACATCAAATTAATACCAGTTTTTGACGTCTGTTCAACATTGGAGCTTGATGTCAAACAAACATTGGGTTTAGACGTCAATCCGATTTTCATTTCCAACTAATTTGACATCTGCATAACGGAGCTTGACGTCAAACAAACTATGGATTTAGGTTTGGTGGCCAGGGATAGGCCTAGATAAAGACATTGAGGCCCTGCTGAAAGACTGCCGCCTGTCTCTTGAGCGGCAAGATGGACACCTACCCCCCTCCCGACCCCCAACATCCCTATCAACCTGCCAGCTGAGATGTGTGCTTGCCCATCACAGGCTGCCCAGCCTCATTCTCGTCTTTCACCGTGGCCTGTTCGCACTCGTTCTCGCCCGGGGCACTTACAGGACTTTTTGTCAACATTTCATGTTTGAAAACCCGTAGGAGGGGGGGAAATGTTGTGTTATCTCAAATGGGGTTTAATAATGCATTGAGTTCAGTGATGCATAGAGTTTGATTGTGCTGGAAGCATTCTCTTATGCCTGACGGATGTATGCGTTCATTTACTTTAATGACGTGGTGTCGTCTCTCATCGTCTTGTCTTACGCCGGTTTCACACTGCACGCGAGAGCGGAGGCAGCGCAGAAGCAGACAGTGCGAATGGTGAGCGGGAGCAGGCCACGCCCGTTTTGCTTTCACACTGGCAGCGCGCAGCTGAACCGCGGCTTGTGTAGCCTTAGGTTGAGGTCAACTAAGTACTTTGACAGATTTTGTATATATATTTTTTAATACATAAATATTGATAGGTAATTGATACCTGAATTATATTTATTATTATTATCTGCATATTTATTATTATTACATATTAGCAGCACTCATCTCCATGAAAAGCGTTCTGCAAAAGAGAAAAACTTTACGAAATGATTTAGATTGTTGAAATATCTGATACACCTTAAAGATAATTCATAAATGTCTGTAATAACAAACAGGAAAGTTCTTAGAGACGTATTGTAAATGAGCAAATTCTCGAAAAAAAAGTTACAAATTCAACAAAATCATGCACATCATAGATGTCTACTGTATGTGTGCTATATTAATATGTCTATTATATATTGAGTTGAGTTGTTCGCTCGTGGGCAAGGGAAAGGTTGTCAAAAACGCTTTTAAATGACTTACCGTCGGCACCAAGAGCCACTGCAACTTCATCCCATGCTTTTTCCTTTGCCTGCAAGTCTTTATAAAGCACATTTTGTGGAGTGATGGGAATAACGGCGTTATAAATAACGCCGTTACTAACGGCATTACTTTTTCCAGTAACGTGTAATCTAATTGATTACTCTTCTCATCTTAATAACGCCGTTACCGTTACTGCCAAAAAATGCGGCGCGTTACTATAACTGATGAAGCTGTTTTTTGTTTTTTTTTCATCAGACCAACTAGATCTCTGCGCGAGAGGCAAATACTTTTTTTACTGTTCTTCCTTGGTTAGTGGGCAGAGCACGAGACAAGCGCATAAATGCTGACGATTGGCTGAGGTAGAGTAAAATGTCATTGTAAGCCAATCAGAGGTAGAGTTGGGCGGGTGTTCGAAAGCACGCATAGTAGTGATGGGCATTCGGCTCTTTTGACTCAGCTCACTGAAAAGAGCAGGCTCTTTTGGCTCACAAACGGCTCTTTAAATGACTTTGACTATAATATTTCAATTTTTATTACATAATTATTTAATTTCTATAGGCTAAATTTGTAAAAAATAGAGTCGGCTCTTCAGATATGCGAGCCAGCTCCCGACGTTCACCTAAAAGAGCCGGCTCTTAGAGTAACTAACTCTTAGAATCGCGAACGACCCATCAAAAGCTCATTCGCGAACCAGTCGATCCATCATCACTAACGCTCATTCGCGAACGACCCATCATCACTAACGTCTAACGCTCATGAATTGCGAACGACCCATCATAACGCATAGTCGGACAGGACAGGACACACA